TGCATGCTAAGCAAGCATTCTACCACAGAGCTATACTCCCAGGCTCAGAATTTTTGATATTAGGAAAATGTTTTATGAGTAAACATGTCAGTCATTTAAAAGGGAATTTGGGGGGAATATTGATTTACACAGTAAAATAAACAGACCATACATGTTCAGTCTGATGATTTTTGATATTTGAGTGTACCTTTGTAATTAGCAACTATATAATATGGAAAACATTTTCATAATCCAAGAAAAAAGTTTTAGAATTTCCCTTCCTTACTAATTCTCTGTTCCAAGAGGCTACCACTAGAAAACCAATCTGATCATAATATGCTAGAACCTCATTTTAATTCTTGGAACACTGAAAGTTTAAAATACTAGCTTTTTATATTTTTATAAACAGTACAAATATATTACATTCAAAATGTACCTACTAGGGATGAGAAAAATTTTTACTTAGAAAATGTAATGGGAAAAACATAACAGCTTATTAGTTAAAGATTAGATGATTGAGCTTCAAATATTTTATTTGTAGTTTTCTTTCATTCTGTATAGTCATGATTTCTCATGACCAAACTCTCATATTACTCTGAAATTATAGTTTTGCCCTCCAATTGTTTTTCCAGATCTCCTCAGTGGTTCACACGCTGGTGGCTCTGAGAAGAGGAGTACAATTTTTTTTTTGTATCTTATATTCTCTGCTCATTTTATACTAGATTAATATTTGTCTTTGATTTGATTTACATGTGTTTTTTGCTGGTATGTCATTTGTCTTTAGATCTTAATGTTTTTGTTTCAATTTTTTTTCTCAGACTTTTCTTTTATGGCTTCTGAATTTTTAAGTCATATTTAGAAAACCCTCCCCACTTTATGATTTTAAGAAATTTACCCATATTTTTATTGTAACTTGTGGGTTTTTTCTTTTTATTTAATTTTTTGTTCCATTTTTCTCAGCAAATTATGTAAGATATGGATCCACTGGTTTTTTGTTTGTTTGTTTGTTTTTTCCTAGATAGCCATCTAGTTGATCCAACTTTTTAAAAGTCACTTTGGAGATGGCATCTCACTGTATTGCCCAAGTTGGCCTCAAATCAAAAGGGTTTAAGCAATCCTCCCACCTCAGCCTCCTGTGTAGCTGCGACTACAGGTGCACAGCACCACCCCTGGCTACCTCAACATTTTTAAATTCTATCTGAAACCCACTTAGGGTTATATGGTACTTTTTTAATATACTGACTTCTCATTTGTGTATGAGCTGATTTCTGGACTTTTCTTTCTTGTCTCTCAGTTATTCTCTGTTCATGATCTATTATCCCTGCATTACTATTTTACAATTTTTTCACAGTGTTCCTAATTATTTTCACTTGTTTATTTTTCTACATAATCTTGGGAATCAGATTGTTTAGTTCCAGGAAAGAAAAAATCTTCTGGAACTCGGGGTGTAGCTTTTTGGTAGTATGCACTTAGCATACACGAGGCCCCCAGTTTTTTTTTTTGGGGGGGGGGAAGGCGATATTTTTGTTTGGCACATTCTTATATATACAAAATTCTTCTACATGCATTGTAGATATACTTGATATCTGCAAGTGGTTATCCTAAGTAGTAAACTATTTGTATGTAACCAGGGAGATAAACAAAACATTTAAATTTATAAATTGAGTAGTTGCAAGTTTTCTACAGTATGTAGTTAATTAAGAATGACTCAGTTTTTAACTTTCTAGCTTACATGAGTAACATTAAGATGCTTTGTGAGCACAGTAATGACATGAAGGAAAAGGTAAAAATAACACATGGTGTGAAAACTGAACTCATCTTAATGCTTACATGGTAAATCATTTGAAGAAATCCAGTTTGAATTTATTCAATTCAATAGTAAATATACCTGAAAATAGAAAGACCAAGATATTGACATTAAGGTTCATAAAGTTGGAACAGTCTGGGTTGTAGAAAATTTTAAAAACTCAGAGGTTTAGGCTGCGGATATAGCTCAGCCAGTAGAGAGCTTCCCTTTGCATGCACAAAGCCCTGGGTTCAATCCCCAGTATCAGAAAATGAAAACAAACAAACAAGAAAACAGTGGTTTATTCATTGTCTAAATCTTTGGATTGTCTAAATCTTATTATATTTTGGATATTTTCTGATAATTGCCTCAAAGTAATACATTACTATGCTGATTTTCATTATGCCAAACAAGTTTATTTTTCTTTAAAAAAAAAAAGTACAGGTTATAGTAGTACAAATATGGACAGCAGCAATGCTATGAACCAAGAATATTTCACATAGGAGTTGTAAATATGTTATATAAAAATTTAGAAAATTATAATTTGCTGGACATACTAATTTTCAATATTGTTTAACTATACTTGGAAGTAGTGCAGTTAGTGCTTCAGGGCACTTAGCTAAAACCCTTTCCCTTTTGATGATGTTTGTGATTTCTCATTATCTTGGCATGCTGTCACTGAGTTTTGTAGCATTTTTTTTTTTCTTGTTTGAGAATATATTCTCTCATAGACTTTGACTAAATGGTCAGTAGATTATTTGTTTTTCCCTTAATGGTTTTTTAAAAAGGTAGAAGTTTTCTTTTTATCAAGAACTTGTTTTTTAAATTCTGATTGAAATACCATAAATTTGCATACTTGTCTTGGGATTAGTAGATCTTTTTAAAGCCTCTAGTATCATAAATTTTTTTCTTATAAACCTACGTTTTCTATTAGGAGTATTTTAAATAGCCCAGTATATGCTCATGAACAAGAACCAATTCTAATTCTACATTCTAGTGGACATAAGAATGCATTCTTTTATTCAACTTTTAAAATCTGACTTCCCATCACACCTTTTGTATGATGTTAAAATTATTTTTATTCAAATAGACTTTAAGCTTGAAAAAAATTTAAAAATGGAAAGCTATTTTAACCAATTTATCTATTGCAGGGAAGTAAAATACAGACAAGAGTTGGATTATTAATGTTGCTTTGTACCTGGTTAAGCAACTGTCCCATCGCAGTCACACATTTTCTTCACAATTCAGCCAATGTTCCATTTGTATCCTTTATGTTTTAGTGACATGCATGTAAGTACTTACCTTACATAGTTTTAATTTCTTCTTCTTAGAAATAGCTCTGTTTCCAGGCTGGGGATATAGCTCAGTTGGTTGAGTGCTTCTGTTACATATGTAAGGCCCTGGGTTTAATCCCCAGCACAAAAAAGAAAGAAAAAGAAATAGCTCTATTTCCAAATTGTTTGAATTCTCAACAGTATTCATATGTTTAAATTATTATAGTTGTAATGATACTGGTTTAAGCTATGTGTCTTTGTGAATACCATTGTTTTTTTTTATGCTGGCTTGGATTATATACAGAGTTCCTTGTAAGAAATCTTACATGAAATGTATGTTAAATTCAAATTGCAAACAAACATATTCTAGATATTATGAATCATTAACCTCCTTAACAAAGATTTCAGCTTACTGGACAAATTGCAGAAAATCTTGGAGAAGAGGAGCAGTTGGTTCAAGGGTTATGTGCCCTTCTGTTGGGTATTTCAATTTACTTCAATGACAACTCACTTGAGAGCTATATGAAGTAAGTAAGGGCAGAATGACTCTCTAATGGCATCTGGAGATGATGATACTTTTTTTTTTTTTTTTCCTGCTGAAGTATAATTAAATCAAGCTTTTGTTATCAAGATTTTTTTAACATCTCAATATTTATCTCTGTAGAGAGAAACTAAAACAATTAATAGAGAAGAGGATTGGTAAAGAGAATTTCATAGAGAAACTAGGCTTTATTAGCAAGCATGAGTTATACTCCAGAGCATCACAGAAACCCCAACCGAACTTCCCCAGTCCAGAATACATGATATTTGATCATGAGTTTACAAAGCTGGTGAAAGAACTTGAAGGTAAGATGAGAAGATTTATACTAATATTTATTAAAAAGTAATTATGTTTGCGTATTCTGGAAACATGCAAATTTTGTAAGTCTACAAGTAGGATTTTTTATTTTTCCCYAGTGCTCGATCTAAAGCCTATTTAAAGACTTTTGGATTTCTCCTATGACTGCAAAGTTTATTTCTCTCGTGGAACTAGGCCATCTGTTTCTGCTGATTAAGTCTTAATAAAATAGTATTTAAAATGTTTAAAACAGCTGGGCACAGTGGCATATGCCTCTAACCCCAGCAACTTGAGAGACAAGAAGATCACAAGCTAGCCTCAACAATTTAGCAAGGCCCTAAGCAACTTAGTGAGATCCTGTCTCAAAATAAAAAATACAAAGGGCTTGGAATGTGGCTCAGTAGTAAAATGTCCCAGGATTCAATCCCCAGTACCAAAATAAAGAAACAAAATGTTTAAAATTGCTGGGAGTGTGGCTCAGTGGCAAGGAGTGTTTAGCAAGTGTAAGATTATAGGTTTCATTCCTAGCGCCATAAAAATAAACAAAAAAAGTTTAAAACAAATTTTAAGTAAGCTTTCTTTTATAGGTGTTATTACTAAAGCTATTTATAAGTCAAGTGAAGAAGATAAGAAAGAAGAGGAGGTAAAGAAAACTTTAGAACAGCATGACAATATTGTGACTCACTACAAAAATATGATTCGTGAACAAGTAAGTACTAAGGAATTGTATTCTCTTATTACTTATTATTCTCTTACATCTTATTATTATTAGGTACTTTCTACTTTAGGGAAAAAAATTTAAGGGGATTTCAAATGAAAGAGAAGTTAGAAAGTAAAATTCATTATTTTTTAAAGCATCTGAGTATTCAGTAAATTCAGCACCTGATATGTGCTAAACGTTTGGCAGGATATTGTGGGTTCATGATTCAGCATATTCCCACACCAATCCCAGGAGGAGACAAATCTATAAGTAAATAATTGTAGTATACATATTATAGCATATGAAGTCCAGTAATAGAGATGATCAAAGGTATGGCAGCACTGAGAGGTATCTGACTTAGCTAGGTAGGAGCAGAAGYCTGTAGAATCAGAAGCTGAGTCCTAGAGGGATGCCTAATAATAAGCCATGGGAAAAGAGAGATAAAGAAGAGAGGTAAGGATGACAGTGTAAGTTTAACTGCAGTGCCCTTGGTGTGCACATAGAATACTCTATTAGCTGTGTAAAGAAGAAATTTTGAGAGGTAAGGATAGATAGGAGGAGGGAGCCCAAGAAGCAAGTTATTGTGGTAGATTAGGTAGAGTAGGAAATAGAGTACTGATGGTAACTATTATGGTGCCAGTGACTACCCTTTTTTGTTTACTGTGTTCTATGAGCTCATTCAGCATGTTTTAAACACTGTTTAATTTGGCCAGGAGCTGTGGCACATGCCTATAATCCTAGCAGCCGAGGAGCTGAGGTAGGAAGATTGCAAGTTCAAATCTAGCCTCAGCAACTTAGCGAGACCCTGTCTCAAAAAATAAAAATGGAGGGGATATGGTTAAGTGCCCCTGGGTTCTATCCTTGGTACAGAAAAAAAAAAAAAAAAAACTGTTTAATTAAATTTTCACAACACCCCTAGGAAGTAGTTTTTATCTTTAGGATAAATGAGACAGAGAATTTCAGTGTGCCCCAGGTCTCTTAGTTACTGGTTGAACAGAATTCAAATATATGTATGTTAGTGAAACATACTATGTGGTATGAAGAGAATAGACTTGAGAAATGTGGAAGCTAAAGAACAAAAACTTAAGCAG